GACCAGCTGTTACTCGATCACTTTCAGTTCAACACCACCAAGGGCAAAAAAAGCAAGCCCCGTGCCCCGCTCCCGCCAAACAAAAACAGTTGCAGACAGCAGAAACGCTCAATCAAGCAAGCGCTCAAGCAAATCACGCAAGCTATCAAGCAAGTACCTCCAGCCTGTCGTTCTGTCGCTGCAGCGCCGTTCGGTCCGCCTGCATGCTGTCCAGTAGGGCCCTCCAATCGTCCCGCTCTTCCACGCGCCACTGTGTGTCGGCCCGGGGTACAGTTGGGGTCGGTCGTTTCACGTGTGTGTGCGTGTGTTGCTGTCCTTATCGTCGTTGCTCGAACACCATGGAGGCGTGGGTGCGGTGCGATACATGAAACGATGTATTCGAGGGCGGGAGGAAGAAAGAAATCGCCCAATGTGTGTGTCCTTCCGGAGATAAGAGGAAGACGTATCGAGCTTGAAAACACAGGCCCACCGTGCGCAACACAGGAAGTCATCGTTGCTCTAAAAGCTCTGTGGTGCGTTCGTTCTGTTGAGCACGGGGGCATGGAAAGGAACAGACCGATCGCTGCCGAGAATCACAAACTACGTGTAACGTCCACGCGAGGGGGGGGGCGGGCGGTCGAGGACAAGGAGGAGATGAGGATATACCGTCGGCAAGAAAACATTCAAGCTTGTAACAACCAGCACCCGTGGCAGCTCTGGGTAGAGCATGGCATATAAAATAACCTCTTTTCTTCTCACCACTCCAGCAGCCGTGACTGCCGCTGCTGCTGTTATTGCTGATCCACATCCGCAACTACGGTCACACCTTATTCGTGGGATACGAGCCAGCTACGGAGGTAGCAGCAGCCTTTCTCCAGGAAAAGGCGGGGGAGGTGGGGGGGGAGGGGGGGGGAAGCACACCACGGGTACGACATTCAAGACAAGAGCACTACTCGTGCTAACGAATGATGCCGCAACAAACATGCCTTTCGGGTGTTCTCGAGCCGGAGCTGTTCCACCAGGCTCTTGGCATCTCCGAGCTCGTCTCTGCAAGCCTCGAGCGCGGTCTCTAGCGTCCGCCGCTCGATTTCCAGCGCTTGAACCTGAAAATAATCAACGCCGAGGGGGTGCGGAGGGGAACCCGTTAGATTAGAGCAGAAACGGATCAAAACCCCTTAGACTTCAGAGCAGAAACGGATGGAACATGAAAACGGCCAGGAAGCAATTGGCGTCAACCAGACACAGGGATAAAAGGCTCTACAGGGTCAGAGTTGACAACCCTATGTACATATATTTGCAGCACGGAATGGCAAAACGAACGGATACGCGCAGGAAAGTCAGCAACAACGCAGCATGATATGTCCGGTGAAAGGGTATTGTAGTAGGTCCCCTGCATTGTCGACCAAAAAAATGCAGCGGTCTCACACGACTGCTGTCACTGCAACCAGAGAGCGGTGAAGAGAGAAACAAAAGCCACACAAGCGCAACCACGGAGAGAGGCCACAAAGTTTCACACACATCACAAAAAAAAAAGGATCACGGCGAACCATATACCGATATCGACTCATCACCGACTAAGGATCGGCTTGCTCGCGACCTAGTACGGGAGGGGCAACCACCGGTCGGAATGTCGGCGTCTACTGACTGCCCTCCCCACCCCCCAGCCGGGACGGAGACACACATTCTGCCAGGCCGCGGCGAGACATTTATGAGGGGGGCGGTAGTGATACCAAAACCCGACGGTGTGAAAAAACAGAGAGGGACGACTTGCCTGAGAGTTGAGTTTGGAGATTTCCGCAGAGGCGTTTTCCTTGGTAGCCGCCAGTAGCCCGGCCAGCCGTTCCAGTCCGGTGGGAGCACGCGCCTTCGACAAGCACAAGCAAGCGAACAAAGCAGAGCCTAACGTGAAAAAACAAGATTGTTGAATCCTGTTCGTACAGCACATATCTTCACCCTTGCTACAGAAACAGCGGCAGATGTTTATGTTTCTCGGTGTCCAACCCCTGAAGTCAATACACTGCAACAAGTCTCACTGGTAAGTACTACGCGGTACAGCTACAATCAGTACCTTCGCTTCATTGACCCACCTTTGTGTTTATCTCTATGCCTTGCGTGTGACAGCCACTTTTAAGCATGCACTGTAGCTGTTATTCTGTTTCCCTCTTTGCTTCCCTCGTCATGACTGCCACGAAAATAGTGTGAACGGGCTTCGCCACTTCCCGTGCGTTTTCTTGAGTAGTGCGTCTTAGACTATCTTTTTCGATGTTGTACAGCGGTCGCACCCACGGTGAGCACTTCGCTGAAACCTGACATGAGACCCGAGCTCCCTCGCATTTGCTGTGTTCGGTGCATCTCTTCGTCGCGCTAGCGGAGACGGGGCCGCTGAGTGGGTCCGATGCGCCAACGGCACCGCCCATCAACCAATGGCTGCAACAGGATTCAAAAATGACGAGGGCGTACGCACACGGCACACCTTTGATAAACCGGAGCACCCTCTCCGCGTTGACCCCATTCAGTTTATGTATCTGCGATCGCTGCAAGGTAGGTTTACGATAAACCTAAACGCATCCCTAATTTGAACCGATCATAGACAAAGCTTGACGGAGACGACATGAACAGGGCGCTCGGGACTTAATCATAGGTACGCCGTTCGCCCTCGCCATCCTTTGATACCTAATGCAGCCGTTGATGGCGGTGCCGTTGGGGCTACGAACCCACTCAAGAGGCACCGTCTCCGCCATGGTGCGAAGAGAGACGCATCGAACACAGCAAACGCGAGGGAAGCCCGATTCGCCCGCCGGGTTCTATGCAGAAGTCAGGATCTCAACGAAAAGCGCTCACCATGGGTGCCGACCACGACAACACGAAGAGGTAGAATTGAAGGTTGTCGCGAAGCTCGTCCACACCACTTTCGTCGCGGCCATTTTTGTACAGTCATCCCCGCGTTAAGGACACAGTTTTTAAAGATACTCCCCGCTTTAAGGACACAAAATCTCAGAAACATGGTGCCCCACAGATGTGTTAAAGTAGAAGGCGATCACGGTAGGCCAGTCGTGCATAAATCTACGATTTCAGAGGGCGAGGTTCGCTCTCGTCTCGAAGATGTCCGCCCTTACTTGTACACACATGGAAGAGACGGCGAGTACAGCGAAGAAACGGCATACCTTCTTTCGAAGACTGTGCATTCGTTTACTCATGAAACTCAGGTCAAGCGAAGAGCAAAGGAGGGGGGGGAGGTGCAGGCGACTCTTCGGGATATGTGGCGGGTGCAGTTTTTGGTTTCGAGAGCAAAGCACTTTCATTGCCAACGTTCGTTGTTTGCCTTGGGTGAAGTCTCGTGAGATTGAATTTGACGTTTGGGTTGTGTTGTGCCTCGTTTTGACCTTTTGGGAGGCGCGGTGTCCACTTTGTCGCTGTGCTTTCCCGACATTATTGGTCTCTGTGTTTCTGCGTAACCTACATTTTCCTAGTGTCGTTTTACAACCTTCAATATTTCTCAGGTGCGGTAGCGAGATCTTGGGCAAGATATTCACGGGGAGGACAACGCCTAAAAAATAAAATAAAGCAAATAATTGAAGCCCATGTCAACACCAGCGCACTACCGTCGGGTACATGTACGATGCGTAGGTCGTAGGACACCATCGCTTTCAGCGTTTTGGTGGTACAGTACGGGGAAATTAAAACGATGGTATGCAAGTATGTATTGCAGCACAATAGCAGCAGTGGTTGCGACCTTCAAATCACTTTGTGTCGTAGGTTTCAAACAACACCTCTTGTGGTCGCCTTTCTGCTGCGAATGCGTACCTATTGACATATGTTTCGCCTTCACTGGCCCCGGGGGTGGTGCGTTGGTGGCCCCGGAGTTATGAAGACACTTCCCCGCGTTGAAGACACATTTTTTTGGGCGGGGGAAAACGTGGTGTGGGGTCGACTGTATGCATGGGGTCTAGTTGGTACCTCGACACCTTCTAGAGGTCAGGTCAGGGGTTCGAATCCCGGCGTAAGCGAGCCTTTCTTGCAAAGTGAGTTTTTCTCTCGCTTCCGCTCCTGGCCTAGTGGATAGCGCTACTTCGTGTGTACACAGAGGGAAGAGAGTGCTGAACTCTTCTCGCGTTAAAAATCGAAGGCAAAGTACCGCAGGAGGGGAGTGTAGAGAGGGGCTCTTCTGTGTGACCACGGGTTGGAGTAAACGGCACTAGTGCTGTGAACGCTGATTTGAAGTCAAGACAAAAAAAAAAAAAAAGTCTAACGAGAACCAGCAACACGGCACCGAACAGCATCAATTACGATGGTATATCTTCGAAGCAGCTGTGGTGCGCCCTCGAGTTCGGGCGATGTACTGTACGGCCATACTCTTGAAGAGGAGCTGAGTATTGTACTTGCTTCTACACAGCAGCAGCAGTGAGTGGGCCAAAAGGAACATCTACTGCCGCATGCTGTAGTCTTGACCATTCAATCAGTACAAAATTGTGTCATCCACGGAAAAAATTCCGCACCATAACGGAAGAGTAAAGTTCTCAACCGATAATTCCACCACATTGGATTCGAGTTCCACTGATACTGCTGTAGAGTGCACGTCAGGCTGTAGAAATACTGCTGTGACACGGACAGGAGCCAGCGTGAGCCAAAACATGGTGCTAAACACATACTTACGGACGCGGGAGAGTCGAACCCGCAAGATTCGCGGTGTTTGCATGCAAGGAAACAAATTCAAATTGTCCATACTCCTGGAAGCCACGGGTGCGGTGCAATTTTTCTTCTACTCACTCATCATGTTCACGGGCCTCACCTCGTCTTCATTTTCGCCCATCGCCAACATCCTACTTACGCCGTGAAACTCGTGGCTCAAATAAGACGCTTCTTGTTCGTGTTGCAGCTAAGCTGTTGCCCCAGCCTGCGGCAACGCTCGCAAGCAGGTGACTGCTCGAGCTGAGCTGTGCGAGCTGGGGCACCGTGGGATGTAACACTTCATACAGCTCGCGTGCCCCCCTCGTTGGGCTGGCTAGGCGGAACACACACACCTCCTTTCCCTGTGTCACCCAGCACTCCCTATCCTCGCCATGGCTCCCAAGTTCGACCTCTCCACGCCCAAGGGCCTGATGCCGTTCAACGGCTACATCTCGTCCAAGTCGTACGTGGAGGGCTACTCCTACTCGCAGGTTGGTGGAACACTTGCTGGGGATTTTTGTGGACGGTGCAGCACAGCAGCCGCAGCAGCAAGCCCCGTTTCACGCAAGCAACGTGACGAGAGACGGAGGCACGGCGGGGCTCGGGGGGATAGCTGTAGCGTGCGGAGCTCTGTCGATCGATGACAGCCATTGCCCCGATTGATGCTCCGCGAATATATGATGTTGTAATCGTCCGTTTCGAGAGGACGGACTGGGGCATGATCGTGTGGCTCTGTGGGAGAGGGAGAGAGCACCAGCCGCAAAGTCGCGTGGTCGGTGTTGGCGTGTGTTGCTACTGCAGCCTCAAGTGTAGGTAGCAAGGGATGGCTCCGAGTCTTTCACTCCGTCATCGCAAACGAATATTTTTGCAACGGCTGCGGGAGAGTCGACCGGTTTTGCTCAAGCTCACACCGTCGTGATAAACCATCTCGATGTTATCCGGATTCTGACATACGGTCTCATACACAAGTACCCGGAAGCGCGAGGCCATGTTCTGAACGAAGCACGGGGCAAAGCGCGGAAGCAAGAAACCTACAACCGCACACTAGGAACCTGAGAGATCACGTCGTCGCCGGACGACACGTTCTCAGTCACCATGCCACACTCATTCCGTGAAAGTCTCCTTTTGGACCAGGGTGGCGATTCCCATCGTACCATCTCCACCCAGCCCGCCGTAAAAGGAGTCCTCAAGGATACAGCAGTTCAGGTACAGCAGTGTCCGCACGGGCGACATCCTCGGGATCGGTGACACCGTTCTTGAATATTTCTCGCCCGTTTGGGTGCAGTGCATGTATCCTTGAGGACTATGTTTGACGTCAGGCTAGAGATGGTACTCGCCACCCTGGTCCACACGTCGGCTTTCCGGGAGAGAGTGTGGCATGGTGACTGAGAACGTGCCGTTCGTGGCGACGACGTGATCGTCAGGTTCCCAGTGGGAGTTGTTGTAGAGTACTTGGCTTCCGCGTTTCGCCCCATGCTCTGACATGCACACAACGCAGTACGTTAGACTTGAACTATATCCCTGTGTATGACTGCACATGTTCCTGTGGAACATGCTTAATACAAAGTACCACTCTTTTCAAGATTCTTTCTCTCGCGTCATGCGTACGTTTTTGAAGTATTTTCTGATGTAAGGAGCAGTTGTCTCGATGTTCGCACCGCCGCGTAGTGTTCTTCGTGGAGTTTTTCCGTACAATACGATACAGACCACTCCCCGGTGCTACCGGTAACCAGTGCGTCTCGTTTCGCTCTGTCTGGTCGGGAACTCGCTTACGCTATGTTTGCACCTTCCACCAGCACTTGGTCTGCACATGATCTGCACATGTAGGCTGCAGTCTACACTGGCGAGCATGTCGGATCTGCATAGTGGGAAGTGCATCAGCGTGTGGTCGTCACCCCTTTGTTGTTAATGAAGTGCTGGAAGTCTCTTTGCTGTTGCCACCTACTCGAGTAGGTTATTTTTTCACTTCATGCGTCTGTGCCCTGTGCTCGTGACAAGGTTGTGCTTGGTGTACAGACAAGGGCAGTTACAGGGTATGTTCACCGTAAAAGTTGACGCAATACTCACACTTCCAAGTACAGTCGACCCCGCTTTCAAGACACACCACGTTTTCCCCCGCCCAAAAAAATGTGTCTTCAACGCGGGGAAGTGTCTTCATAACTCCGGGGCCACTAACGCACCACCCCCGGGGCCAGTGAAGGCGAAACATATGTCAAAAGGTGCGCATTCGCAGCAGAAAGGCGACCACAAGAGGTGTTGTTTGAAACCTACGACACAAAGTGATTTGAAGGTCGCAACCACTGCTGCTATTGTGCTGCAATACATACTTGCATACCATCGTTTTAATTTCCCCGTACTGTACCACCAAAACGCTGAAAGCGATGGTGTTCTACGACCTACGCATCGTACATGTACCCGACGGTAGTGCGCTGGTGTTGATATGGGCTTCAATTATTTGCTTTATTTTATTTTTTAGGCGTTGTCCTCCCCGTGAATATCTTGCCCAAGATCTCGCTACCGCACCTGAGAAATATTGAAGGTTGTAAAACGACACTAGGAAAATGTAGGTTACGCAGAAACACAGAGACCAAAAATGTCGGGAAAGCACAGCGACAAAGAGGACACCGCGCCTCCCAAAAGGGACGAGGCACAACACAACCCAAACGTCAAATTCAATCTCACGAGACTTCACCCAAGGCAAACAACGAACGTTGGCAATGAAAATGCTTTGCTCTCGAAACCAAAAACTGCACCCGCCACATATCCCGAAGAGTCGCCTGCACCTCCCCCCCCTCCTTTGCTCCTCGCTTGACCTGAGTTTCATGAGTAAACGAATGCACAGTCTTCGAAAGAAGGTATGCCGTTTCTTCGCTGTACTCGCCGTCTCTTCCATGTGTGTACAAGTAAGGGCGGACATCTTCGAGACGAGAGCGAACCTCGCCCTCTGAAATCGTAGATTTATGCACGACTGGCCTACCGTGATCGCCTAGAAGAAGTGCGCAGCGCAATGCGCACTTGGCTGAGTGTAGAGGACGATGAAGAGGCCTTGAGGGATGAGGTAGAACTCGAGATGGAACAGGTAACGGAGAACATGTCAAGCGTGCACGTCGAGGAGGACGTGTCCAGTGAAAAGGCCTACCGTGATCGCCTTCCTCTTCAACACTCGCGGCTTAGACCTAGCGTCCAGGTCCTTGGCACTCTCCGGCATGGACATCTTCTAGACCATATCGCACAGGTCGTCCAGGGCGGTCGCCCCCGGGTCTTCTCGGTCCAACCGCGTGTCTTTGTCCTGGAGCGTGCTCTCGTGCTCCCCAGGAAGAATGGTGGCCTTGAGCCAGCACCTGGTCACAGTCTGGTCCGAGAAGCTCTCCAACTTTTGGGAAAGGATCTCCGTCACATCCAGCATTGTCGGCTGGCCTGCGTCGTTCAGGCCCTTGCAGCCCCTGCGAAACAATGATGCAAGGAACACAGGGTAAAAAAAAAGGACAGATTGTTAACCACTAGAGAGCGAGTGTATTTCGCTGGATGCGGTGTAGGGCAGGCATATTGTGATCGTAGACCTTTTTTGAGGCAGCACTAGTGCTGTTGATTGCTGATGAATGGCACTCGCCTACAGTAGTAATCCGGTACATGCCTGCACCAACTGTTGTTGAACAACACTCGCCTGACCAACACCAGCAAAACTGAATCCGCAGCCACAGAACCGAATCACTACCTTCGCCGCCCCCACAACAGTCTTACCGCGGATTTTTGCGCGCACGCGCTGTATCCCAGTTCTCGATGAGGGTTGCCAACCTCATCACCATCTCCGTCTTGTACTGGCACTTGAGAGCAAACAGGACGCCCATGTCCATAGGCTGAAAGACGGACGTGACGTTGGGGGGCAGAAAGATGATGACCATGTGCGGGTCGTCGTCCTTCATGCGGCGGCCTGGGCAGTTGTCCCACAAGAGAGCCACCTTCTTCCCAGTCGTGTTCTTGACACAGAGGACGAAGACTTCTTCGAACCACCGCTGGCAGAGTGCAGAGTCCAGCCAGGCACTATTCTGGGCGTAGAAGGGGCAAGCTGGCTTGCGAACGTGGCGGAAAACCATGGGGTCTTTCGCCGTGTGGATGACGGCCAGCGGCACCTTGAGCGACCCGGTGGTGTTGCAGCAGGCGACAACAGTGCACCGATCCTTGGCCTTCATGGCCTTCGATCCCCGCGCGGTCTTCTGGTTGAGTCCCGCTGCGCCCTCTGACCTCGTGACATACGTGCCCCTCGGGAAACAGCGGTAGAAAAGCCCCGTCTCGTCCATGTTGAAGATCAACTCAACGTCAAAGCCCTCAAGCTGCTCCCGAATCTGCGCGATTTCCTTCTCAGCCGCAGCCTTGTTCACGTCACCAGCTTCCCCGTGCAGGTTGATGTGCACGAGGCCGTAACGAGAAAGGCAGTGATGTAGCCAGCCGTTGCTCGCGGTAGGTTGGTCACGTTCATCTCCGCCGCGACCTTCGTGGCCTGGGTCTGGATCNATCTCGTGACGTACGTGCCCCTCGGGAAACAGCGGTGGAAAAGCCCCGTCTCGTCCATGTTGAAGTTCAATTCGACGTCAAAGCTCTCAAGCTGCTCCCGAATCTGCGCGATTTCCTTCTCAGCCGCAGCCTTGTTCACGTCACCAGCTTCCCCGTGCAGGTTGATGTGCACGAGGCCGTAACGAGAAAGGCAGTGATGTAGCCAGCCGTTGCTCGCGGTAGGTTGGTCACGTTCATCTCCGCCGCGACCTTCGTGGCCTGGGTCTGGATCATGATACCGCTCAACCCGAGCTTGGTTGTCCGCATGATCGTGAGGCAGCAGCAGCAGAGGTGGATGTTCGAGCGATGTTGGCGGTTGTTTGGAATCCATGTAAGCGTTCAGGTGGCTCCCAAATTATCATCCTACCTGCTGCAACAGGTTGTAGTACAACAAAACAACGCCGGCTACTGCTGTGTAACAGACAGGAAACGAGGCGGCCAGAGATGTAAAAAAGACTTATGACCGAACGACGTGGGGTCCCTTCCTCAAATCGTTGTCGTGCAATCTTGATCCACTGGTTCAAACGAGCCTCCAACTCCGCGTGTACCGGCGTTGGTGTGCGTTTGGCGCCCATGTTGAGCTCCATGTCACGGGCCTTCTCAAGCGCGACGATCATGGGGGTTTTCATCAGCTTGCTGACGTATGCCTTGCCCGCATTGTAGTCTGCCGCAACCTTGCTCCTTTGCCGGCCGCCTCGGACAGCCTCAACGATTTTCCATCGCTGCGCGACTGTCAGCTTGTTCTTGCCGTGGTCTGATCCGGGCTTCGCTTTGCCGCCCGCGCTGCTGCCAGGACCAGCTGTAGCCCGTTTCCCCGCGCTACCACCCAACCCAGCAGCAGCCGCGGCACGTCGTTTCCCCTTTCCTCCAAGCGATGGCTCCTCCTCTCTAGACCTCTCTGGACGGTTGTGTAGTGCTGCGGTCATGAGAGTAAAGTGGAAGAATTGAATGCGTGACAATTACATCAGAAACATTGTACTACATACTACAGTGCTTGTCCTTCGCTGGAAAACCACTTGCAAAGATAAACGATGCAAAAAAACTTGTTATAAAGTATTTTACAAATGTGATACTCCGTAGGTTACAATATTTCGTGCGCAACATCTACACATGTGCACAGCACACGTCGTCACTGAAGCGAGAAAGGCGCGTATGGAAGGGGAGGGTGCAGCGCTGAAGTCATGTTGCGGGGGATTTTGTGTGACTCGGGAGACCATGTCTCTCCAACGCAGAGAGTTGACGCCATTTTTGAAGGCACACAACAATTTTCACGAGCAGCATCTTTCAGAGCTTCTCGTGTCCAACAGCACAAAAAAGGCCATGGGTGCAAACAGTACTTTTTCTAGAAGCAAAATAGCGAATGCAGGTGCGAAACATTGATTCTGGTTCACGAGCGGGAATAATCGTACAGCAGTAGTACCGCTGTATCGCAACGCGTGCTCGCGGCGTCGTTGCAGAGAGCCACTGCTGCACGCACGCGCGCGCGCACACACACACACACACACATCCGTTGTTTCGCGGAAGGAACTGCTGTAAAAATTCACCTGTCGCTGTGCTGCTCGACGTCTTCGTCCTCCACTTCCATTGGATTGCAGCTGCTGTCCGTGGCCTTCCTCTCTGATGCCCCGACTACAAAACGCGTGCATGGGTCGCCCGCACGGACACTGATGAACCAGTGACACCAGTGCAGATTTGAACTGGCACATCGGTTCGCCGCATGGCTTCAAGCCGGCAGCAGACGAACCGCTACCAGGTGGAATGAATCCTTCCATACACCCACACGCAGTGTGCGGCTGCAGCAGACCGCTGTTGATGATCCAGCATCTACAGGTGCTGCAGCGCATTGTCTGCGGGGGGTCGAATGGTGGAAAAACCTACCCCCTCTACTTTTCCAAATCTGCGGGGCACCATATTTCTGAGATATTTTGTGTCCTTAAAGCGGGGAATGTCTTTAAAGCCGGGACGGCTGTACGTGAACGCCGAAATGAACAAGGCGTGTCGACCAGGGCTACAACGCACGTTGCCTGTCGGTCCTTCACACGCTTCATATTGGACATGTGGGAACGCCGTGATGGTGCGACTCCCACGACCCCCACAATAAAATTGCGTGCTGATGCAAACCATCACTGCAATCCATGGGCAACGCCGAGAGATGTGTACCCGTCGGCGATCCGAATAAGCCTAGCTTGAAGCTGTATTTGGGCTACACAAATGACGAGGTTCACAGGGGCCTCCTAAGCATTCCCCTTCGTGGGCAATGCGATACGGCTTCGCTTGCCTCTGCAGTGAACTGTCCGTCTAGGCTTTGCGGGTTTGGCGGTTTGAAGGAGCCCCTTTTTCGCGTCACTACTTTCGGCTACGGCTTTCCCCTTCTAGTCGCGGGGCATAAAGCCAAAACATGGCGGGAAACCGCGATCTTCTACCATGCACAGCGAGCGTTTGACACCAGACAAAACCAAGCCTTGCGTGACTGAGCGCCTGTTTCATGCGTATCCCTCGGCTGCTGCTCGCCCCCCCCCCTCCATATCCCCCTACACGATGAAAACGTCGCACCCAACGTACACAGGCGGATGCGGACATGTTCGCCACCTGCGCTGGCGTCCCGGACAAGGCCAAGGCGCCCCACGCCTACCGCTGGTACATCCACATCGCCGCCATCAAGGGCGTCAGGAGGTGAGTACGTAGGCTTACGTACGTATGTGTTGGTTTGCTGTAGTCCTTGCTGCATCAGAGAAGAGGCTGTTCTGGATCCGCAGGACAGTACCTCTGCGCGATGGCTTGTTTTGGTGGGATTGTTGAAGCAGATTTGTCGTCTTTCGCAAGCCGACGCAAGCGACCACAAAGTGAGAGGTACAGTAGGCCCAGATGGTGTTGTAGCTGTTCCTATCCGCCTCCTCTTCCCTTCTCTCCTATGGCAACGAGACTAATCTTGGTCACATATAAACCAGTATTTCACCCGAAATCGATGTGCAACCATACGGAACCTGGAGGACGCCCGACCACTCGCAAGGACATGATTGTTTCTTGGAACACAAGTCCACATGGACCCAACAGCATAGTTGGGGCAAGAAATGAGGCAGGCCACATCGCCCTGACTGGGGGTTTGGGTGGAAAAAACGTTTACACTGATGAGGTTCAGCACAAAACGAAACCGGAAGCCAGAGCGAAGTCGCCTTGTGTCTTGATCGCCGTGCCAAGGCTGCCGTCTTTTTCGGTCCTCAGGCGGGGCAGGGTAGGTCAACGAACACAGGGAACGGAAAGCAAGTTATGGCTATACGTGTCGCGTTTTTTTGTTGTTTTTTCCCGCGAAGACACACCATCGTACTCTGCCCGCAGATTGTGTAGCTTGGGCGGATGCCTAGTCCAAGTAAACAAGCGTTCGACAGGACACAACAGTGCAGGCTTTCGCAAAAAAAAACACGCCAACGCATTTTTTTCTTTGACCTGACCACCCTCGGCCCCCTCACGTGCAACCTTATACTTTTCCCGAACCTTCGTACGAATATGACGATACGCTGGTGATCCATCCGTCTATTGCGGTTGGTTGTTACCCCGGCGTAGCTTGAGCTTGGCGCCCAGCAGCGGCTCTGCCCCGGCCGCGGCGCCTGCGTCTGCTCCGAGGGTGAGAAAAAGAGAATGGCATTCGAATTTGTTTGTGCCGATCGTTGTAGGTGTGGGTGGTATGCATACCGTAGGTGAAGAGGATAAGACTTGTTGGGCGTTTCGTTTTTTTTTTGAGTGGCAGGCATAATCGTAGTTGTGTTCTGTTTTCATTTCTCAACAACAAAGCAACACCCAGGAGAGGAATCTCAAGTCTCTCTGAGAGGTTTTGAAAACTTTTTTTTTTCGTAAACCGGTGGTTGTTTTTTTTTCGATAGCCTCTTGTTAATAAAAGAAATCTGCGATGACTGTGTGCAAAAATTATGTCAGGGTAGAGGACCCACCCTCTCTCTACGAATGCTGACAATCAATTGGCCCCCTTCGGTACTTAACTTGCTTGATGAATAGTGCCGACGGCCGATAGCCTCGCATCGTTTTGCTAGTTGTCACTGAGCGAACACCATCCGTTCACTCACGCTGTGCTTGACGGTATCTGATGACTCCCGACAAAGAGATGATATGGTACCGTAAAACGTCGAAGTGCCAAGTCAAAAGTGCTCGCAGCGTTTCACGGGATTCACCACCATGACTGACGGCCGCTGAAACGTGATTCCGGGAAGTCGTCCCTTACCTGCCTACTGCCTACATTTCGCCCCTTGTTGTATAGCGGTTTCGCGGTGGTTCAATCCTTCTTTCTGCGTCCCCCCTCGTGCAACAAAGAGAATTGTGTGAATTCCCCTATCGTATCTGTTGTTGTATTTTCTACGGGTGTCGCCCACGGTTAGACCCTACTTTTTGTGTATGTCCCCTCCCAGTGATCCGCAGAACGTTGTATCCTTAGCTGCTGTCCTAACTCTTATCCTTATGTTTTGATGCATGGTGCACAGGCGGCACCCGCGGCGAAGGCCACTAAGGTCGACGACGACGACGATGACGACGACGACCTCTTCGGGGACGATGAAGAGGAGGAGGCGGCCAAGCCCGCGGAGAAGAGCCGCGCTGAGAAGATGGCGGAGGCTAAGGCTGCCAAGGACGCCAAGAAGAAGGTTGACAGGTGAGTGAAAGAGCAATGCAATTTTTCCTTTCGTTTTGTGGTTGTTTTTTGTAGCTCGTTTGTTTTTACATTGATGTAGTCTTTGCGGTGATGTTTGATTGCTTTTGGGCTCAGGCCTATCCGACCCAACGTGTTGCAGTAGTTCAGTACGATGATTATGGTCTTCTGACTTAGCAGACGAGAGGTATTCGTCGGGGCAGATAGGCCGCTTTGCAACCTGAGCGAGCGAGCGATGTGTTTCGCACATCGGTAACGCACATGATGTGTTGATGCGGTTATCCAAGACACAACGGAGCCGCATTATTGTAGCTGCTGCTGTGGTTTTGCATACAACGATTGCACGCAAACGACCGAGTGGTTGACGGGTGGACTTGTCGAGAACGATGCAATGGCCGTGTGTGTTCACCGCCGCTCACCGTTTCCTTCCTTCATCATTTTCCTCCTCGTTCTTGGTGAATGTGTCCCTTTCATTGTATGATTGTATAAATCCTACGGTCCCCCCCCCCGCCTATCAGGTCGCAAATTGTGTTTGAGGTGAAGCCGTGGGACACGGAGACGGACCTCAAGGGCTTGTTCGCCAAGATTTGCAAGGTAAATTTGTCGTGGTGATTTCTTGTGTTATTGTTTGCCCTCGGTGTAGGTTTTTGTGTAGGGAGTCGTGGCACAAGAAAGCGCCTCCCGCAAGAAGCGATGCGGAACTTTGCTCAACAGCCTACGCTTCTGGGCTACCGAAGTTCGCGCGGTCTCTCGTTGTGCATTCGGTGCAAAAAGCTAACAAAAACTGTCAATCCAACGTGTTCCCCTGCTTGCGCTGCTGGTGCTGCTATTGCTTGTGCTGCTTCCATGCTCTACCGTCGTGTCTGCGCGAAGACTAAAATTGAGGGGCTTGTCTGGGGAGAGGCGCACAAGCTCGTGCCCGTGGCGTTCGGCGTGAAGAAGCTGGTTCTATCGTGTGTTGTGGAAGATGACAAGGTGCGAGACTGGACTCGACTCGCCGACTGAGTGGTTTTGGTGCAAATGCTCGTTGTGTGCATGCGCCACCTCCTTCGGTCCTGTGATAGCAGTAGCGCCTTTGGCGAGGGTAAACTTGAGTATCTATCTACACGTAGGGATTACGGGTTTGGATTTGGGATAAAGGTTAGGGTTAAGAAGCCCCCCTCTCTGTTTCACATGAAAGGCTATTGAACACTTGACATCCTCTCGAAGGCGGCCCTGTAAGCGGGTGTGATTCCGGTGGGGACATGCCCGCAGCAGGGATTGGCTATTGTTTTGTACAGATGGGGAGTCGTGCTACGGCCAGATTTGCCCTCGCTTTGCTCGCCAATTAATCCGTTGTGGCTACCCGATCTCCGATCTGCTGCTGCCGCTACCGCATGGCCATCATAATAGACTGTTCATACCGTACACTTTTTCTTTCGCCATTTAATCGAGTACTTACATCTCTCGTCCCCCGCCCCCGGCCGGTGTTTTTTGTGCCCCCTTCGTTTAGGTTGGCGTTGAAGACATCACTGACGTCATCGAGGGTTTCGAAGACGAAGTACAAAGCGTGGACATGACCACCATGAACCGCCTGTAGTCTGGAAAATCCCTTGTAAAATGGAGACTTTTTCGATTTTGTCAAAGGTCGTCAGCTTGTCTATTGTGTTTTTTTGGTGCCTTGTGCGTGTGTGTTGACACACGGGGATGACGCTCGCGGTTGTGTGCGTGCGAGGGCGGGGGGCAGCCTTCTGCTGCTATTGTGAGGCACGAAAAGGACTACCGCCGTTCGCTGTCGCTCCGTTGAGTCTGGTTGATGTTTGGATGTGTGCGGAGCACACAACCTCATAGTGGGGGTACGACCAAGACTGCTGTTTGGTCATCCTTGTTGATGTTTCTGTTGGCGTGCACAGAGCACACAACCTCCCCGAATCAGCCCTTGAGGTCCACAAGTTTTGCAAATCGATTCTTGAGTGCTACAGCAGTAGTAGCTGTTTCGTCGTATCACTCGGCTTGCGGCACAGACTCTTGATTGGGATCCTACACCGCGGGGCGCCCTGTTTTGCTTCTTCAAGCCACACCTTGTTGGACATTCTCGACGAGGCAGGCGCGGTGTTCCCGTCCAGCCTACTCTAGTACTTGCAGGGTTACGAGCTCCACTTACGGTGCCATATGGCTACGGCTGTGTCGCACCACGTATGTTTGCGGACAGCTCTACTACGAGAATTTGGCGACGGTTTTGATGGAAGCACTGCTGTCTGGTCCGTGTGTCCGATTTGGACATTCATGTTCATCTTTCTCCGCGTGTGTCTGGTTTGCTCAACGCACCAGATAGATGTTGTCGCGTATCGAATGGTGTTGTTCTCGCATCATGCGTGATACTTGTGGCGTTTGGTGGCTTTCTCACCTACAGCCACCCTCAGCGGTCGACAATCACGTACGCATTCGACTCTGTGCGAGGAGTGCTGACGGAAAAAGCAGAGTGATGAGCAGGGCAATCAAGCTGTAGAACCCGGATGAGAGATAAAAAAATAGATCAGTGAGGCCGGGTCGGCGAGTTGACACCTCGCGATGAAAAAATTAGAACGTCTGCCGCTTGGTTTCTCTATTTCACGTGGATCAGAGACATCGCACGCGAAGCTTTCCTCACTCCGGCAGAAGAAGCCGCTTCTGGTGTTTAGTTGTGTGCTACTCTAGACCGTCTCCAGAGTGACCCTTGTGAACTGCCCACTCGTTTGACAGAATAGATACTTTAATACCCGCGCCACTTGTTACATCTCGGTGATGACGGAGATCTGTTATTGCTGATGTATTGTCGGCGGTCATGTTGACTTGAGCAAGAAAGACTGAAGAGCTGTTGTCTGAGAGGTCTGTGTAGCTCAGAGGTGCGGCGATGATAAATGGCTGCTCGTTGTGTAGACGGCGGTACAGGTATACGATCACACGGTACAGTACACTCTCTGATCCGGTAAAGTTTGAACCGTGTTGGCATGGCGCAGCAGTTTCATCATCGTGTTTCAAGAAGGGGTGTGAATGCAATATATGCACGTGCAGCAGATAGCATGCGCCAACCAGCAGCCAGCAGAGGTTGGAAATACGGGACTGTCAGATGTCAGAGATATGATACATGATCAAAAAAAGTTCGAAACCCGAAACCGTATGCTACTTGCCGACATGTAGTCTCTGCCCCACGTGCAGAACCAAGGCCCAGCAACTTTAGGCGCAGACGACGCAACACCAAGCACGATTTTTTGCGTTGTATCGCCGCTATCGTGTTGGCGTGCTTCGTGGGTGTACCATGGGGGCAGGCCTCGACCCGAGCCCAGATAGCTTCCGACTCGACCAGCACTTTCCGAGCGAGCGTGAACGGGCAACGGCGGGAGAGGCACACAGCCAGTGCGATAACATGGTACCTATGACGGGAGACGCAAGGCGGGTTTTACGTACCATACGAGGAGGGAAAACGTCCGAGGTGCGCGCACTTGGTTCCACCTCCTCTGTAGAGCGAGAGGTTCAATCGAGACCATAGGCACACCAGACCCAATAGACTGTTAATAGATACGAATTCTCGGCGCATGTTCATACTTTTTCAGAGAGACGGAGACAGCAGTGTTCGCTATCCCGATCTCCCAAAGGGTCGGCAGGTCCGGACGTTTTTGCAGCCCATAGCCGACCAATATACCAAAGTTCGTAATGAGGCGTGCAGAGTGCAAAGATCCCCCATATACTCTGCGTGTTGAGACAAAGCAATTACACGTGCAAGCATGCCGAGGTAGTACATGCAGTAGTTGCTCCGCATCTACAGCACAGATACGGCCAAAAACAAATTTTTCCAACGTGCTCCCTGACACTTGTGCTGTCTCCCAGGTACTTGATCATGTGAAAAAACAATCGCGCCTGCTAAAGCGTATGCGTTGGGGACACAGGTGAGCGAATGGTGTGCTTGCTCGTTGAAATATACTACTCCATCCATTTGCTCGCTCGTGGGGGTGGTATTATGATAGCCTCTTGGGCAAGTCTGTATGTAGGACGGGCTTGGATGTTCTGTGGGCTTGCACTGTCTCCCGTGTTGGTGATACAGAAAGCTGCTGTAAACGCGTGTGGGTCGAATGATGACTGACCCTCTGTGGCGTTGCTTGGCGTGCTCACCAAACACACACCAGGCGGTGATCTTCGTGTGTAACTGATCCTTGAGGCTTTTCCGGATGCCTACTTGTAGTGCCCTTTGAGCTTCTGGAGTGTAGGACATCACGTTTGGCACCCAATGTGTTAACCGATACAACAACTTGCATGCGCCGACGGCTGTGCAGCCTGCACACAGTTACGCGTGAGGCTATGGAAGAGCCGTGGTGTGGAGATCCAACTCGTCGGGGGCGAGGACCAGCGGCTTTGGTCGCAGTGCGTCAACCAGAGGTGGGTGTGTGGCTCTACCGTATCCTTCTCCCCTCTCTCGTATCCCTTTACTCCGGGGGATTGTTTTCAGCATATCTTCGAGCTGTTCCACCCTTGAGTGTGCCAGCGAGCCGCCCTTGATGTTCAGACTACTGCAACGTCGGAAATTTTCACGCAGGTGACTGCTATACACTTAAGAGCATCTCGCAGAAACTACGACCCGTTCACCCTTAGGCATGAAGCTCCTTTTCCCGAAGGTTCACTTGCGCGCGAATAAGGTACTTGAGTGACGCATCACATTTCGCCCTCGTCACAGCAGGAGGGTCATGCCACACCATATGATTTGCGACCCGGTTCAGCTTTCTCCGCCCAACGCCATGGCCCCTTTGACGACATCAGCGAAAACACGAAGGGGAACGGCATCAGGGTGGTAGACAGGGGGGGGAGGGTTCGACTCTCCTCCGCACCGCCCCAGAGGTGAGAGAGGGGGGGGAGGAGGAGAGCCTAGATGATATGCAGTGGTTGCCAGGATTATGCCTCGGTAAACACGCAGCGACCATGTGGGTGGGTGCTGTGACGTATGCGTGACTCCCCTCCCCAGCCTCATCGTGCACCAGGAGAAGTTTCCCACTGTGGCCCCAACGCCGAGCGTGGACAGAAATTGTGTGGTTGTATCTCGAACGTACACTTTTCTAGAAAACGACTACCATCACAGCCCCCCCATTCCTTCTGCACTGTCCCCCTCCGTTCGGTGTTTCTGACGCTCCACGCAACCCGCCGAAAACAGACAATCGCCGCCCGCTCAGGGTCTCCCCGATGCTGCTGCTGCTGCTGCTGCGATGAAACTGTCGGTCGCACCTGCCCATGGTGGGGTTGGCGACACCGCTACGGGCCAACTCGTTTCTCGTGAGATGAACGGGTCAGCGGGCACGGCAAAGGTGGCATGGCGGGTGGTGGCCGGGAAAGGAAGAGCGGGGTGCAGCAGCAGGGTGGCAAGGCTCGGATCGGCGCTGGACAACGTCGAGACGCGCGCGGACGAGGCCAGGGAGCGGGGCGGCAGGGGAGTCAGGGCCAGCTCTGGGCAAAGGGTGCGTGCCATGTGCTGTGCAGCGTGAAAACTCAGGTAGGGTGCAGATCAGTTCGTTCGGAGAGATGAACACGAAGGTGCAACCAGGTTGACGGGTGAACGGGAAATCTGCGTTACATTGTGGAATCGATCCTACGGTGTAGTTGCAAGGCATGAGGGCGGAGAGCGATTTTCCACTGCGCGGTTTGTGTCCCCGAGCTACGTAGGCACCAGGCTATGCCTTGTTCCTCCAAAAAAACGCGAACCTGCCGTCTGCACTCGTAGTCCCATGAAGTACGAAAGTATGTGACATGGACTCGTCACATCTCTCTGTTAACGGAGGTCATCGCCATCTCTTGCCATCGCCCGCTCGTTCGCCACCTCATTTGCATCACGTATATCTTCAGCTGAACCTACCGTGCACAAAACGGCACGTCAAGATCGTCAGAGCTATAACTGTCGGTGACGCTAGTGCGGTGGCAGGCAATAGCGTCGGTGGTGGCGGTTGTGGGGGTGGTACCAAAGGCACCAGTGGCTCGGGGCCCTACCCCTGCACGCCAAAGTCGAGCAGCGGAGGCAAACAGGTGAACACCATAAGCCCATCGCCAGCGTTGTCACAAGCAACCGCAACTGCAGCGACAGCACCACCATCACCGGTGTCCGCAGCAGCTGCAGGCGTAGGCGCGGCTGTAGCAGCTGCCCCGATCGAAGGCGCGGTTTCACTCAGGACTGTGGGAAAGACCGTCGCCTTCTTGGCTAACCTGGCCTCGCCGTCTGCGGCAGGGCGAGACGGCGATGGGGGTGTCTTCGGCGGGGGCGGAAAAACTGCCGGTGTGAGCGGGACGGGGTCTGCGTACGGGTAAGACGTAATTCTAGTGTAGGTCGCGTGGTGGCGACGCACGCCGCTTTGGAACGTATGTGAAAGACATTTTCATCGCAGTCAAGCCGCCTTGCAATCCACCCTTATTTTTTTTCGCAAATCCATGGGTCGGCGGCTGGTGTCTTCACTACTGTACCGACACAACTATTACCTCGTTACGAACAGCGAACGGGGTAAAACCCAACTATTGGGTCGATGGCAAAGACAACGGGAGGAGAAGGACTAATTCTCAGACAGTTTTATTTGTTGATCAAGTTCATGTTCTCCCCCTCCGGTGGCATTGAAATGCGTCTGCTTTGCGCAAAAAAGCGCAATTTGCGTAAAAGAGCAAGCTGTGGTTGTATGTACCTCAAACGGGTAGTCTCTCTGTGATTGTATGCGCATACATTTCACAAAAATGAAAAATGTAACGCAGCACAAACAGAAAAAAAAAAACTATCGACAACCTCCGTGTGCGGCACACGCTGGCAGGCTGAGGCAGTGCTGGTACAGCGCCGCGGCCGCCAAGCAGATATCGGACGAGGCCCACGAGGGGCAGGGCAGCGCGGAGGAGGAAGGACAGGCGGCGCTGGAGCTGGAGCGTCGCCTCCACGCCCCCCCCGCCATCCAGTTCGTCACCGAGACCCGCCGAGGTGGCTTCAACAAGGCGAGATGAATAAAACACACACACACACATGCATGGTGATAAACGTATCTACGTATGTAGATGCTTGCGGACGTTTCGAGCGTAAGTGGAGGACGTGCTCAGTTGGTACTTTGGTTACCTGGACCGTGGGTCATGGGTCTGACGGTGCGGTTTTCAGGGACGATTCTGGCGCAAGTCTTACATGGTGAGATGTTAGGAGGTGGGGCGGGCGGGGGGGCAGGCAGGGAATGAAAGAGTAAATGTTTATCGAGGCTTCTGTTGCCGCTGCTACTACTTAGGTCGTGAGGGGCAGGAACTACGTCGCGCTTGAGACAGGCGAAGGCAGAGGGAGGGTGCACTGTATCTTCAGCGTGGCGAGGTCTTATCTTGTCGCTGGCCTGCGCGGTACAGTATCCGCGGGCGCGCATGTTGTGTCGACAGCTCTTGTGGCGGGATAACTTGAACGAGTCGTGCCGATTGTGGACTCGTGCGCGAGAAGAACGCCTCCAACGAAGGACATAAGACACGTGCACAACGTCCAGTCCGGGCCCTAACCGCATCACTGCCTTGAAGCTGTCCCTTAACGCACCCACCGGTCACAGGGGTCGACCATCACGTACGGCTCAACGGTGACTCTCCAGGCGTTCCACGGGGGCATTCTTTGCTTCAATAACAAGGTACTCCCGAACAAGATCGTCTTGTACTGCTGTGCTTCCAAGAACGATGTCGGCAGATTCTGGTGCAAGCTGCCGTCCCTGGACGTGTGCCATGCAAAGCGAGAAGTAGGCCGCGGAGTTTGGGCATCGCTTCCGCTTCATTTTTTGTCCCAAGCGAAAAAACAGCAGCGTTCGTTGTTGTTCGTAATGGTTTGCTCGGTTTATAGAAAATGTTGTCCAATGAACGCGCTTTCTTTCACCTTGTGCTTCCGGGCTCCTGTCTCAATATTGTCCCTGTACCTTTCAGTCTGTGGGCTGTAAGACATCGAAGGGCAAAACGGTTCACACTAGTTAGTCGCGCATGGATGCGACCCCCGCTGCACTTACTTTTCCATTACCATGTCTCATTTAGCGCCAGGAGCTCCACGACGAGACCGTTGGCTGGCTCGTCGGTTACTTCTCCAACCCGGCCGGATTCCTTGCCGTTTCTCCTCGCAGACATGTTCCAATTCTACAGCAAACCCTTCGTTCTGC